TCGCCCATGCCCATAGCCTGCCCCTGCCGGCCCTAGGAGGGAGGGCAGAGGCCTGGAGACCCAAGCTGAGCGACTGGGGAGGGCCCTGGCGCTGGCCTGGGTCCTCACAGGGAGGCCACGTGCGTCCTACCGGTCCCGCGGGGGGACGCGTCGCCTCCTGGCCCAGCGCAGCCCCAGCCCGAGTGCTGTGCGCCGGCTCTGGTCCGGGGATATGGGGAAAAGCCGGAGTCCCTGGGTCCAGAACAACGTCCACTCGTCAGGGACCTGGGCCGGGACCTGCCCGGGAGCCTCCACCCACCGCCCGGAGCCGCCCCTGCCTGGCTCGGCGACCTGGGGCGTGTCTGGGGCGTGGTCCTGGGCCCTGTGGCCCCGCCCCTGAGGTTAAAGCTGTCTCTGGCCTGGCCGGCCTGGGACAGGGACGCGGTAAGGACTGGAGCCCAGTCCAGCAGCGCAGGTGAGTGCAGGTGCCCGCAGGCGAGCGCAGGCCAGCGCAAGCTTGCGCTCTGCCTGGGTCTCCGAGGGCGGCTCCAGGCTGGGGGTCCTGGACCCGGATCTGGGCGCCCATGAACAACCTTGGGGGGGGGTGCGGAGCTGAATCAGGTGTGGGCCACAGGTGCGTTGGCGCTTGGGCGGGCAGAGCGCCCTTCCTGGGGGCAGGGGACCCAACCTCACCCCACTCAGCCTGTGTCAGCTGTCTCCCTGGGCATCGCATGGCTGGGCTGGCAGCCGGAGAGGGGGGCACGGAGGGGGCGGCTCCCTGTCTCCCACCCTGATGTCCTCCCTGGCAGCCTGGGGTGCGTCCTTTTCCTCGGAGCGAGGCAGGGAGGCTCTTTGGTGCTTTTCTTTGTCTCGGAGAAAATCTCAGCGGCCGGGTGTGTTACCTGAACTCCTTCTGCTCCTGCTTCCCCACAAGGTGGGGAGAAACTGGAAACTCTAGAGATGCCGGGGCGATAGGCAGGCCGAGGAACAGAACCGGGCCAGACCCGGCCCCACTCTCCTGGGCTTTGGAAGACGGGACCCTTCTGGGGCTGCGACCTGGACCAGACCCTTGGGCCCCAGGAGCCACTGGGCCCTCCGTGCTGGGGACTCAGGAGGGTGGCAGGTGCGTCCTGTGAGACACCTGGCAGCCCCAGCCAAGGAGCTGCCCCAGGCCTGAAAGTCTGCGTGTGTGAGCCTCCTGGCCCGGGTGTGGGTGGCTGTGGACCCTGGAGGGTGGCCTGGCCGTTGCGTGCCAGGAGCCCGGTTCTGGTGTGAAGGGGAGTGCCCACGTGCCCCAACCAGGGCCTGGCAAGGTGGCCTGGCTTCCAGGTCAGAGGGTGGCCAGCCGGCCTGCTGCGTGGAGCCCGGGCGCTTATCTGGGAGGGAATAGCAGTGAGGTGGTCGCCGCAGGTGAGCTGGTGGGCAGGGGTGGCCTGGATATGGCTTGGAGGCTGGGCAGTCCCTGTGGGAGCAGATGCCTGGGTCCTGAGGTCAAGCCCAGGGCGGCATCCAGGGCTGACGTCCTGGCTCCAGGCCTGGAAGAACCACTCAAGGATGGCAAACTACAGAGCGGTCTGCGTTTGGCGTTTGGAAACCCGGAGTGAGACAGGGGTGTTGACCCAGGTGGGGGTGGGCGGGGCCTGCAGGAAGTGAGGGGGAGGGGTCTCCGGAAAGGTAGGGGCTGTGAGGAGGGGACTCGGGCGACACAGCAGTGGGGGCTCATGGCCTTCCTGGACAGAGCGTTGAGGGTGAGACGGGCCCGGAAGGAGACCATCCGCTCGGGGGCTCGGGACGTCCTTGCTGGCTGGGCCCTGTACTTGCCTTGCACATTCCTGGGGTCCCAGGGCATCTTCTCACCTGCTGCCACCAGCAGAGCCCGGCTCCTGGTTCACTTGCTGGCTGCTGACCACCCTGACGGTCCTGGTGGGCGGGGCACCCTAACTGCAGGAGTAAGTTTGGCCGCTCCGACGCTATAACTCACTGCGGGCGCCGGGTGGCTCTTGTCTAGCTGGGAATAGATGCGAGCTCTTTATAGTGCGTTTAACTCAGTTACAGGGAAACTGAGGCAGAGCAATTGGGCAGTTTGCCCGACATCTTCCTATCCATAAGGGGTGGAATGGGGGTGAGTGTGGGCTCCGGGTGCGCCTGTTCCTCCCTCGCTCTCTCTGTCCTGAGGTCAGAACGTCACAGCCGGTGGGAGAAGGGCAAGAGAAAAGTGCCAACCCCACCTGGCGCCTTGCTGCCCCCTCCCCGGCCCCAACCTATGCCCTCCAGGAAGTGGCAACCAGGAGCCCCGAGGGCACCTGCTCTGTCTGCTCTGCCCAGAGCAGGATGGGGGAGGCCCGTGATAATGCGGGGTGATTGGCCTGGTCCTCACTGCTGTTTCTGCCCTGGGATGGGGCCCAGGAATCTTCCCTGTCTGAGCCAGAGAGAAAAGCCCGAGCTAGAACTCGAGGCCAAGGGCAAGGCTCGGGGGCTTCGGCAGAGAGGAAGGCAGCTGTCGGGGTGGTTTGGGGTACGGAAGAGCGGAAACTGCCCTGTTGGGTGGGGAGGGGCCCGGGGGGTCTGGAGAGCCTCCTGAGGGGATCAGGATGGGTCTGGTGGCCTTTGGGGATCGGGCTGCAGGGGCACTGCACACCGCAGAACTGAGATCCAGTGTGGGTGCTTGCAGTCCAGCTCCTAGTCCCGGGTAGAGGCCTGGAACAGGGAGGCTGGCTCCTGACTCTGTGTTGGAGCCTTTGTGGCCAGCACCGGGCTCCTGGGGAGAATGAGGTGGTCCTCAGGGGTTCATCTAGTCATGCTGGGGACTGACCTGGAGCTGGGGCCCCTAAGAGGCAGAGGTGGACCAGGCCCCAGTTTCCCCAGCGGCCCCTGGGCAGGGGAGAAGTGGCAAACTGGGGCAGGGGGCACTCGAGGCTCCCAAGGGAAGGAGTGACAGGGGTTGTGGGCAGCGACCTGCATGGTACCCGATATGGACTTTGAAGAAGGCAGGTAACCCCAAAGTAGACCTTCTTTTAGTACTGGAGATAGAACGCAGGGCCTCCCCACTGAGCTACATCCTGAGCCTTGTTTTGTTTTTTGTTTTGAGGCAGGGTCTTTCTAAGTGGCTAAGTTGCCCAGGCTGGACTCGAACTTGCAACCCTCCTGTGTCAGCTTTCCAGACTGCTGCAATTATGGGCGTGCGTGACCACACCTAGCCAAGGCGTGCTCCTCACCCACCTCCAGGAGTCCCTCTCACCCACCTCCAGGAGTCGGGAAGGGGTTGGGTGTGCATAGTTGAGTCTCAGGCATGGGAGGTGGTGGCCGGGTGGGGCTCAGGGGCAGAGGCAGCCAAGGAAGCTTCTGGACCTTGGTGGTGGTGGCCGTTCATGCGCAGCCGGGATGGAAGAATTGGGCATCTCAGGTAGGAGGGAGGGAGAGGCCAAGGGAGTGGGGTGCACCTGTGTTGAAACGAACGTGTAATTTTTAGTATCTTAAAACAACCTAGGAACATCTTTTCGAGTGAGATTGCACTGGGAGATGAAACAAGCCCTGGCTTTGTTCTGCTTGTTTGCCCAAGGTGCGAGAGTCGGTGTCAGATCCCCTGCTCGGTGACTGCTTTCCAAGGGGCCGTCCTGGCAGGGCCCGGAGCTCACTGCTTGAACTCAGGATGCTGTTTTCTAGGCATAGTTGTTTTGGAGTTTCTTCTGTGGAATTCTGATTACAAAAGATACCCTGATGTGCCAGAGCCCACTGGCGTTCGTGTGTTTCTAATGGGCCAGAGAGATGTTATTTTGTTTTGTGTTTTTGAGAGGAAGTTTTACTAAATTCCCCAGGGTTGGCTTGATCTCATGATGATCCTCCTGCCTCAGCCTCCTGAGTAGCTGGGACTACAGAAGTGCGCCCCGTGCCTGGCTGGGAGTGACTTTAAGAGATCACATCTCTGCCTGAAGCTAGAGCCCAGATCTGTTCTGGAACATGCCGGAGACCTGATCCTCCCGCTCTTAGACCAAATGTATTTAGGTTTGAGGAACTCGGGATTTTCCCAGACAGCCCCAACCTGACTGAGCTTTCTCATGGTTGGAACTTGGTTTCCCTGAATGGAGTCAAAGCTGCATTTCTGATAATCCTGACCATTGGTCCTGCATTGCCCTTGGGATGCACACAGACCACACAGAGTCCCTCCTCCTCAGGGTGGCCCCTTTGAGAGAGAAGAGGTTCTGTGGGCCCTGGGTTGTAGCTGGGAGAATGACTGAGTACAGAGCCTGGGGACTCATCTAACCCTTTCAACAGCCCTATTTACTTAGCAATCCTGTTGTTCGGATTGCCCCGGACAAGCCTTATGACCCTAGCCAGTGGCTTGGGCAGTGTTCTGGGTCCTTTGGAGCAGCCCGGGCCCCTCTGTCTCCCGTTGTGCTAGTGTGCACCCCTGTGTCCAGACCCCCTGTCCCTGGCTTGGGAGGCTGGTGACATACAGGTGCGGGCTTCCTGTCTCTTGTTCTATTTGTCTTTGTATGGTACAAAGCTAGCTAAAAAAAAGAGAGACCTGCTCTAAAAAGTTTGTAATCTCCTTGGGATGATTCACATTCACAGAGAGAAGCTTGAATGATTCAGGCCGGCCTCTCTGACTTCCTCTCTCTCTCTCTCTCTCTCTCTCTCTCTCTCTCTCTCTCAACTCCTTCTGCTCCCAATCCTTGTGTGGCCACTTGTCTGGAATTGTGTACTCGCTAACTTGCTCATGTGGAGCTGTTCCTGGAAGACTTCTCATCGTCTATCACCATCTAACTCCACTGCATCCCAAAGAGGAGAGAACATCTCGCACTGTGAGGTTTCAGTGCTGGTCCTCTTTGCGTCTGAGCCCTGGATGTGGGGTGCCAACTGAAGGTGGCAGTGTGGCCTTCGAGGCTGAGGCACAGGTGTTCCGCAGCCTCCAGAGGAGAGAGACTCTAAGATGAAACTGTGCTTGTTTTGGAACAACGTTATCATTTCCTGGGACGGGGATGAAGTTTCACGTGTCACGCTGGTGCGTGCTGGCCAGGCAGCTGACTCACGAGCTGACAGCTTTCTGAGCAAACAGCCGGAGAAACGCCAAGGGTCACTCCTTTCAGAAACCTGATCATGTGGTTTTCAACCCCGTGTGACGTTGGAGCAGAAAGTGGTTTCCGGGGTCTCTCCAGACACGCCCCTTCTGTGTCACCCCTTCCTTTCTTTTGGGGTGCAGGACGTAGTGGGCAGCTTTCTCGTCTTCTACCTCGGAGCCTATGGTCGTGGAGCCAGCACCGTCCACTGTGGGCTGTGGATGAGGGGGTAGGGTTGTCGGGACAGCTTCGGGGTCCTGTGGCTTTGACAATTCCCATGGGCGACTCCCGTCATTCCCTCCTTTCCTGGCTTCCTGCTCGCTCGCTGTTAGGGACCTTGAATGAATAGCCAGCATGGATTTTGGGCACTGAGCCACCACTCCTTTCAGAGGGCTCCTCCACTGGGAAAGCTGCCAGCGGGATTGAATTTTCATTTCCTGAAACCTCAGCCACACTCATAACTGGTGAGATGGCCAGGAGTGGCCAGGAATGGCCGGGAGTGGCCACAGGGAGCAGGGATCGGGCGGCGGGCAGCTGTTTGCCCAGGCAGGACTCTGCAGAAAGTCACCTTGGCTGGGCTGAGCTTGCTCCTGCTGGTGACATGGGGAGCAGGACTTACCACGCCAACACCTATGCACCGTGAGTCCACCCTTCCCAAAACAGACCCGGGAGAGCGTATTCATATGTGACCGGGCCGTCAATCTGAATGCGTCATCCATGGACCTCAGCTGGGTGTTCTTTCCTCCCATCTGGAAAGCTTTTGACTTTATTTTTCATCTTAAAAACAATCTCAGGACTCTCAATATGGCTTGGTTCTTCTATTTCCCTGCACACAAAGCGTAAATAAATGACACGGCTCACTTTAACTGTGTCCCCTCCGAAGCTTCACTCATAATTTTATTTTCACAAGTTGCTCAGTTTTTTCCCGGTCGGTTTAATGATTCACGAGGTGATCAGTTTTGCAGCAGCAGCAGCGTCTGTGGTATTCAGGTCTGGTGAACTCTGAGCGCCAGTGGACTTCGTGCTGGGGCTGGGAGCGCCTACAAATGGGACGAGGTGATGCATGGAGCCGGCCCCTCGCTTCCCAGCGGGAAGTTAAACATCGCTCAGCTTTGCAATTACTTTTATTTAACACAAGTGGGTGCCAGGCTTCCTGAGTGTCAGGCGCTAGGCACCCCGCCTGGGCTGGCTCGCTCAGGGCCCCTGTGGCCCAGGCCAGGCCTGGGCTCCCTCCAGGTTGAGGCTCGTGAGGGTCTGAGCCTAGGTTTGGATCCGGAGGGTCTGAAGGTCTCGGATCCCGCCCACTGCCTGGGTGCTCGCAGTGCCTGAGAGTGTGCAGGATGAAAAGACCCAGCCTCAGTGGGAACTCGTCTTGAGGGTGGATGATCCTCCAGATCATTTCTCAGAATGCTCCTTGGTCCTCTTAGGCCCAGTGTGGAGGGGTGGAGATCAGCCCTCACAGAGATGTTAAAGAAGCAGTGACTCAGTGACTACGGTTAAGGCCAGGTGAGGAGAACTTGATCCTTCAGGACCATCCTGCAGGTGTAGGGACCAGGCAGTGGGGGGAAAGAGATTATTCTGACTCTGCCTACAGCAAGGGAATGCAGGGTTTCACCACCCAGGAGTGGGGAGCCAGTGGGTGGAAAATCACTGGGAAGAGACATTGGGGAGCGGGGTCCCAGCAAAACTGACGAACAAGGTTCTGGCGGAGGCAGGTGGTGACCTCGGGGTGGTGGGGGTGAAGCGTGGAAAGCGAGCCCGGTGAGGGTGAGGGTCACCATGAACTGAACAGCAGGGTTCTGGCTGAAGTTGCTTCAATGGGGAAGCAGCCCAGGTCGGTGGAGCCTGTCCAGTCAGGGGAGCAAGGAAGGTGTGTCCAGGAGGACAGGTGTCTGGACAGGGTCTTCATTCAAAGCCTCTGCGGATGTTGCTCTCTGCTCTCCTATGAGGCTGCCAACCGGTGACGCACGGTGCTCTCCACGCTGCAGGTCTTAGGGTCTGTCAGATAAATCAGCTTCCTGTTCCTTCCTTGTTTGCAAGCAAATGGAGCAGGAATGGATGTGTTTTATGAAAATGTTAAGAAGTCCCTATTTATGAAAGTACGGAGGTCCCGCATGTTTTACTTTAAAAAGTTGCCTGTGACCTCTTCCTGGCGTCCTGTCCTGGACCCCTGCTCCGCCCAGGTGCAGGGCCGCCCACTCATGGGCACCCATGGGCCTGGGGACACTGGTCACACTGCAGTCTTGTGACCACCGCCAGGCTGTCTGCTCAGCGTCCCCTGTGGCACAGTGCCCACTGCGGAACTTGGCAGGTTTCGAGGTTTCCTTGCTGTGGTTCTTCCATGCTTTTAGCCCATGCATTCTCTTTTTGCTTTTTTTGTTTGTTTCTTGATTTTTTTGAGGCAGGGTCTTGCTGTGTAGTTCAGGCTGGCCTTCAACTCACAGAGATCCTCCTGCTTCAGCTTCCTGAAGGATGGAGTTTGCATTCTCTTTTTGGTAGATGTGATTGCCAGGGAGTCACAGCCCCTCTTCGGGAGGACTCAGGGGCCTGGGTCAGCACTGGGCATGGCCCTGTGAACCTGCCCTTCCTGTCGGGATCCCCAGCCTGTCCCTTAAAAGTGCACCCAGCCACCACCCACAGGGCAGGTCTGCACCCCGGGACGCTCAGTTCCCTTGTGCCCAGGAACTTGCCGAGTACAAAGCACCACAGAAAGAGGTGGCAATGGCGAATCGAATCCTCAAGGTCAACAGGAGCTGCTGTTCCTACGCCAGAAACACTTTCTTCCAGCTTCCTCCATCCAGCCTTATCTTTTGCAAAGAGCAGGTGTGGAAACATTATGTCTCATGACTTTCTTCCAGGGCATCCTGACCGACCGGCCCAAGGCCCTACCAGCACCCGATGCTGTCGATAAGGCCAGGATGGCTTTAAACTCAGTAAGTGGTTAATGATTACCTTCCACCTTTCCTGTCAGGGTCCTGTGGGGCTCAGCATATGGAGGAGCAAGTGTGGGGTGCACGGTTGTGCAGTGTGCAAGGTGCTGCCCAGGAAGGATGAGTTGGGGTAGCCCAGAGGTGCAGACAGGGGCCCCCAAGCCCTGGCTGCCGTTGAGGATGTGGCATGAACCTTCCCCTGGGCCCTCCCTTGCAGCTCAGTCCATGGGTGGGGCAGGGGCCAGGTGTTGGGACGGGTGAGGTGGGTGGGGCGGAGGAGGACAGGCTGCTGGGGACACCACCGGTGCCCACCCCCTGACAGCCTGAGAGTCCTGTGTATGGGGTGTGGGGCACCCCGAGCCCTGAAGTCCTCCATCCGGAGACAAAGTCATCATCTTCATTCCCATCATGTCTGTGGACCGCACCACATGGCTGAAGTAGCGCATTCAATAAAGACTGAATGGTCGGCAAACATTTCTCTGGATCCTGGGAAAATGCACTGTGTCCCCCTTGATTGGTCACTGGCGTTCATTTTTGTCTGGACCCTTTCAATTCCAAATCGGCTTCACAGGAATTCTCTGGACAGACGCCTCCCCCTGCCTGGTGGGTGGGTCATTCTCGGAAGGTTTGGGTACAGATCAGAGGCCCTGCCGATTCCTAGGCCTCCTGCCCCATTAACTGGGGGCTGCAGCTCCCTCCCCTCTGTGTACACCCGTGTGGGGTGTGAATCTTTGGACTCGAGGACAGTGTTAGTGAGTTATTAAGCACAGGTTGCCGGTGGGAGCCGAGTCAGGCTCATTCTTTCCCAGTCATGAGGGCAGGAACTAGTGTTGCGTGGTTCCCTGAGACCCCTGTGAGGACAAACACGGCCTCCCAGAGAGCCCCGGCTGGGCAGTTGTGGAGTGGAAAGAGGCACAGCTGCGGGTTGTGGGGTCCAGAGTGGCTCCTGGGGCGGCTGGAGTGGAGGACCCCAGAAGGCCGTCTGGAAGCAGCCCGAGCGGGAGGAGGCGGAGGCGAAGGTGGGGTGAAGCTGTGGCCGGGCCGCCCCTCCATATTTGTGTAATGAGGGCACCTTGACCCGGAAATGCGGTGTGGAGGTCCACATCCTGCACATGGCAGTTTTTGCGCCCTGTGAGCGTGTTTATGGCCACAGAACTGCTAATGGCCCACTTGGGGAGAGAGGGCAGTCCGTGACTTCTCAGTTCCATTTCCTTGAAACCTGGGTGTGGGAACTGTGCCACTACCCATTCAGGGCACCAAAGAGGTTGCGAATACAGAGACTGGCAGCCGCTGGCCCTCAAACGCCAACCGAGCCAGACCTCAGGCTAATTCTGGAGTCCTTGCTTCATACTTTTGCACAGGGACACTGAGGCCAGGCCGGCAAGCAGTGAACATACAGGAAGGGCATTGGGCCCCTGGCTGTGATGCCAGACTTCTAGATGTGTCCTTTTCCAGACTCAATCCTGATGTCAGCCACATCTTCTTTATTTCAAAGAATAAACAGTGGAGGGGGCCGGGGATTTAGCTCAGTGGTTCTGGCGCCTGCCTCGCAAGTGCAAGTTTCTGAGTTCGATCCCCGGTACCAAAAAAAAAAAAAAAGAATAAACAGTGGCAGTTCTTTAAGTTAAATTAAAAAGCACAGCAACAAAACACGGGCGGTTGCTGTTGTTTGAGTTTGGAGCTGGAGCCAGCTGTTGTGGGGAGGTGACGTTGTCAGAGCCCCTGTCCTGTTGGGGGGCACTGCTGGCTCTGGGTGCTGGCTGCTTCCGTTAGGGGGAGCTTTAGTCGGTCTGTCTCCTCTCATTGTTTAGGGGTCTCCGCCGGGCATTGGACCTTACTATGAAAACCACGGGTACCAACCGGAGAACCTCTACGGCTCGCAGCCGCCCGTGGCACCCAGCGTCTACGCAGTGTACCCGGCTCGGTACTACCCGGCGGCCGTGCCCCAGTACACCCCGAGGGTCCCCACGCACGCCTCCACACCCGCGGTCCACAGGCAGCCCAAGGCCCCCTCGGGCACTTGCTCCTCAAGTAAGGGTCCTCTCGGCTTTGTCTCCCTACTGGCCCGAGAGTTGGGTCCGCCTTCTCTAGCTGCTCTTGCTCTGTCCCCACCGAGTGAGAGCTGCCCCCCGAGGACTCCCCTGCTGTCCTGAGGTCTGGCTCTCCCGCTAACTCACTGGTTCTGCTAAGCCCCTGCCCTCTCCAAGTGGCCTCTGCAGGCTCTTTCTCGCAGCTGCGGTTTAAATCACGTAAGGTGCACAGGTGGTAGCGAACACCACACCTGTCTTCGACATACAGCGCCCGGATGTAGAAGGTCAAGCTCAAGATGCCTCACACCTGTGTCCTGAGAGTCACGTGGCTGCCAGGGTCCACCCAGAAGCTTGGTCACATTTTCCACCTTGCACCAGGCTGGCCACCCTGGGGAGCCGTCCAGACCAGAGCAGTTTGGGTGACGGGATTTCCTGGGTGGAGCCCCAGTCCTGTGTCCCTTTACCACCTCCTTCCTCTTTGAGAATCACCATGCAGGGACCCCTCTGTGGTGTCTGTCTCTGTGTGTCACAACCTTAGCTAACACCAGGGCTCCAGGGCAGAAGAGGGGCTCAGCGGGCCGAGCGGCTCCGGGGTCCATTCCCCTCAAGGCTGACAGGATTTATGAAATGGGCCAGGGACCTCACTTGCCTTCCGCCTCCCTGGGACCCATGCACTAGGATGTTGTTTCTGAGGAAGGGTCTCCCCTGCAGAGCTCCCAGGGAGCCGGCCCTGAACTGGGCGTATTTCTGGCTCACGTAAAGGCTACGGGTAGGAGCTGCTTCCTGGGCGCCTTCCGTTTCTGGGCCTCCAAGTCCTTCAGGGCAGCTGCTAACTCCGTGTCTTCCCCTCCTTTGCTGTCTCTGTTGTGGAAGACCTTCGTGGCCTCTGAGGTAGTCACCCAATTCCAGGCAACCTGCTTCTGGGTTCGCTGCTAGTTTTAAAAGCCTGTGGCAGATGTTGGGGCTGATGGAGTCAGAAACTCGTTCTTGACGAGGACCTCGCAGACGACACTGCCTGGGCTTATTTGGTCCTGGCCCCCTTTAGCCGTTGCAAAACCACTGACGGTAAATTTGTCTGAATTTTGCCTCACTCGAGCCCCCTTCATTCCCTCGGTGCCCCCCGGCCTGTCCTCCCTGAGGCGTCTCGGCTCGTGCGCTTGGGCTGAGCCTTTCCCAGTCCGGCACCTCTGTGAATTTCACAGTAGGCATTGCCAGCTCTCATGGCCACCCCTAAAACTCTTTCTTTTCTCTCGATTAAGAATCTCACTGAGGAGAGACATCACGGTGCCCCAGGTTAAGATGCAGAGTGAAGTCGCCCTTTCTGATGCGCTTATTTACCCATCTGAGTCCCCGTGAAACCTCCCAGCTCTCGTTTGATTTCTCCTGATTCTGAGGAAGTGACTGGGACCTGGTCTGGCCCCCTCCAGTTGGAAGGGAAGGCAGTCACCTCACTGTGGGCTGCAGGGCCAGGCCCAGGCAGGTGGAGCAGGCCTAGGGGCCAGCCTTCTCCTCCTCTGGGGGGCATCTTTCCCGGGAGGGCCAGTGTCAGTGCCACCGACCGTGAGGGCCAGGGGAGCACTGACCAGCCCGTTCCGATGGTCCCAGAGGGTAGAGAAGGGCCGGACACAGGGCGCCTCGCTCCACTTCCCTCCCCTCTGACCCACAAGTCTACCTGAGTTCGGGGTTAAAGCTGAGAGTGCCCCGCAGGCCACTCTCCTCCAGAGGAGCAAGAACGGCCGCTAAGGTTAAGTCCCAGAGTGGCCTAGGGGTCCAGCCAACATGCGCAGGATGTGAAGGCTAAACAAGCCCAGTTCCAGGTGGGGCTGAGGAACTCCTGGAGGCAAGGTGGGGCCAGTCCTCCTGGGGCCTCCTTTTCAGAGCTCGAGTTAGGGAGTCCTAACACATGAAACAGGAAGAGGGGTCCCCTTGTACTTGGCTCTCCTGTGAGTCCCTTTTCTCTAGTGAGACACAGAAGGGTGGGGAAGCCCAATTTCCAGAGGAAGTGCAGATCCCCCTGAGAAATACAGTTTGGAGATGGCCTGGAAGAGCTTGTGCTGTGGACCCTTGGACAGAGGTCACTGAGTAGTGGTGCATGCAACCCCCAACCCTTGGGTCCTCCACTCCGGCCAAACCAAGGGGCCTCCCCTTGACGATTGGCAGGTCAATTTAAGTCCTCACCAGGGTACAGACAGGGTCTTGGGCTCTTAGCAGAGGGTGGGTCTGTCTAGATCCCAGGCCAGGTCACAGAACAGGGAGCCGGCCCTCGGGACACGGGCACATCCATGAAGCTAGTGTCGCTGTCTGGGTGTGGTGCCCGGCTGGGCCCTGGCCTCACCTGTGGCCTGGTGGCAATGAGATTCGCACCTGGCCCCCAGCTGGTCAGACTTCCTGGTGATGGGGTCCAGTTCCGCAGGGACTCCTGAAGCTGGCTGGAGCCCCAGGGGCAGCGTGTGGTACAAGGTGACAGGCGTGGCTTCGAGCTCTGAGCAGCGGGCTCAGCTCTTGTCTGCCCAGCTCCTGGGGCCACTGACCTCTGAGCTCAGGTGCATGGAGGCAGGGACCCCAGACCCCCTCCTGGCCAGCTGGGAGGGTCTTCTGACCTTAGCCTGCTCTCTCTTCCACCTCTCCCTTCTTCCAAGGACACCCAGGGGGTCCCCAGCCTGGGACTTGCTGGGAGAGCCAGCCTGGTGCCTCCTCCCTGGGGCTGGTTCCTGACCCCCAGTGCTGCCCGAGGTACCTGGCACTGTCCTTGCTGTCCTCGGCAATGTGACAGCTTCGGGTCACACTCTTGGACCAAAATGACCATGTTTGTTTTGGCTGGAGAAAATCAGTGACCTCCTCCAAATTACTTTATTCTTAGCTGAATTTTTTTATTTCTCTCCAAATCGTTTTATTCGTAGCTCTGAGCTCAGTGTCACTGTCCAGGGGGCAAAGGGCCTTAGCAGGTGCTGTCTCTGGGACTCCAGGCAGCAAGAGCGGATCCACAGCGCCCTGCCCAGCATGGCGGCTGCTGCTTTTATTAATTCTACTTTAATTAAGTAAAGCATAAATAGCCACAGCAGCTGCCTCAGGCAAGGTGTGTGGTGTCACCGTTTCCCCAGAAGCCCTGGGCTTCTTCTGCAGAGGGGCAGTTGTGAGGATGTCGGTATTATGTTGTTCATGCTCCTCATCACCAAAGCCAGGCACACCTGCTCTTCCTGACAGCTTCTTCGTGGATCATTGCCTGTGTTAAGATCTTTTCTCGGGTACCATGCCGTTTAAGAGCTTAGATTTTCCCAATCAGGGCTGTCCACTTTTGTTTTCCAAAACACAGGAAGTTTTGTGCCTTGGAAGAAGTGAGGGCTCCCAAGATACATTCTTAAAATTCAAACTCACTGTTGTCTTTTAGTACTGTGGATTGAAAACAGGGCCTCTGCCCTGAGCTATGTCCCCAGCCCTTTTTAAAAATTTTATTTATTTATTTTTTGGAGACAGGGTCTTGCTAAGTCACTAAGTTGCCCAGGCTGGGCTTGAACTCCTGAAGATCCTCCTGCCTCAGCCTCCCAGAGTGCTGGGATTACAAGTGTGTGCCACCAGGTCCAGCCTCATATTCACATTCTTAAGCATACAAGAAATCTTTCCTCTTTCTTTCTTTCTTTCTTTCTTTCTTTCTTTCTTTCTTTCTTTCTTTCTTTCTTTCTTTCTTTTTTTCTTCCTTTCTCTCTTTCTTTCTCTCTTTCTTTCTCTCTTTCTCTCTGTCTCTCTCTCCCTTTCTCTTTCTCTTTCTCTCTCTCTTTTTTTCTTTCTTTCTTTCTTTCTTTCTTAAGAAATCGTATTTCTGGGCTGGGGATTTAGCTCAGTGATCCCACACCTGCCTCCCAAGCAAAAGGTCTTGAGTTCGATCCCGGTACCAAAAAAAAGCTTATTTCTTAATAGGGTTCTCAGACAGTCCCTGACTTCCTGAGTCCAAAGCACAAGCCCTCCCTCTTTACGGGGGTGCCCGGAGCCCCCCCCCCCCAGCCTTTCATGCATTTTTCAGTGCAGCATTCAGTGAGCAGCGAGACACAGTCAGCACTGTTCCTCGAAGCAGGCTTTCTGTGAGGTGCTTCAGCCCCCTGCGGGCGAGGGACAGAGTCCTCAGTGCCTGTACCCTAGGCGAGGCCGAGCTAGGAGGTCATGGGTCAGGGGCGCCCAGCGCCCTGTGACCCGGGATGTTTTCAGCTGGAACAGTGGTTATCCTGACCCCATCACAAATCTACTGACCGGTGGGTGAAGCCGGGTGTGGTGGCACACACTTGGAATCCCAGCACTCAGGAGGCTGAGGCGGGAGGATCTTCAGGAGTTCAAGGCCAGCCTGGACCCATCTCAGAAAAACAGAGGAAGTGCGGCGGGTGAGACTCGAGGCGCCCTCTCCACAGGGCTGACCCCAGTGTCCTGCTCTCCACTCCTGCAGGGACCAAGCGGCTGTTGTGCCTGGTCTTGGTGCTGGGGGCCATCCTGGTGGGCGTTGCGCTGGCTGCCGTCCTGCTGTGGAAGTTCCGTAAGTACAGGGAGCGCGGAGCTGCCCTCCGAGGTGGCCCCTCGCCCTCCTCTGCCCTTGGCAGCCCCCTCACCCATCCTCGGAGTGGCCGGTGTCTCATCCCCATCTCCCACCCGCCTGGGCCCCGGGGTGACGGCCTCTGGGCGGGCAGGTGCTGGGTGCTGTGTGGGCCCTGAAGTCCGGGGCAGCAGGGGCGGGAGTTATCCCTGCTCCAGTGCAGGGCTGTGATGACAGCGCTCAGGGCTTGGGCTCCCTGGGTCCCCCTGACGGGAGTCTCCCTCCCTGTCCCCTGTGCCAGTGGAGAACCGGTGTGCGGTGTCGGGGGTGGAGTGCGGCAGCTCCGGGATCTGCATCAGCCCCTCGCTCTGGTGTGACGGTGTCCCCCACTGCCCCAGCGGGGAGGACGAGAATGGCTGCGGTGAGTGGAGCTCGCGCAGGGAGAAGGGGCAGCCCGGGACGTGAGGCTGCACCTTCACCCCGTGGCAAAGTGTGAACATTTGTCCCAGCGGAAGCTTGGAGCTCCGCGCCTGCCTGGCTCCGGCCGCGCTGCCCCGCTGTTCTCGGCAGTGTCTCTTACCGTCGCAGGTTTCTAAACAAAATTTAGATTCATTGTGCCTTTCCCTCTCACCTTCGAATGTCACCAGGTGTGTGCGTCTGCTTGCTTTCATTATTTTCAGTTACCCGTTTATTTTAATTGACAGTAAAAGCTGTATTCGTGATGTTCAGTTTCCTTCCTTACTGCTGCTTAACGTCTTCTCCCAGCCTTTTCCAACGGACCTGAGACTGCGAACAGTGGACACCGCGTCCCAGGACAGACCCCTCGGGTTTTTTCCTCTTGTCTAAACAAAACTGTGTTCTTGGGCCTACCTCTCCTCGGTGCCATCTCAGCCTCTGGGAACTACAACTCTGCTCTTGGTTTTTGTTCGACTTTTTAAAATTCCACATGTGCATGAGAACATGTGTTTGCGTGTGTGTGTGTCTGGCTTATCTCAAGGGCTAGGATTTCGTGCTTTTTGAAGACTGAGTAGTATTCTCTTATGCATATCTGCCACATTTTCTTGATCTGTTCATCTTTTAATGAAGTCACTTCCATAGCTTGGCTATTACAAATGAAGCTCCAGTGAACACAGATATATCTTCAACATACTATTCGTTTTCTTTGGGTAACAGCCCAGTAGTAGGATGGCTGGATCATACAGTAGATCTAGTTTTAATTTTCTGAGACTCCTCCACACTGTTTTCCACCCAGTGGGCTCTTCTCTACACCCTAACCAGGCCCGCTGTTCTTCACTGATTTAACAGTCACCCAAGCAGGTGTGAGGTGCCATTGCGCTGTGCTTTAATCTGCATTTCTCTTTCTATTTCCTTCCGTCCTTTGTGCCTGGAGATGGAGCCCAGGGCCTTCGCACTGAGCTGCATCCCTGGCTCCATGGAAATCTCAGAAAGGTAGAGTCAGGGTGGCACCGCAAAAACCCCAGCACCCTGAGCCAAGATGCTGGGTGAGGCGGCTCCCACTGCCCCGGACCCTCCACTTGGCCTCCATCAGCCTCCTGCGCCCGAGTGAGACGTCAGTGCTGCCCAGGGATTCCAGGGAGGAGAAGGAGCCCGCGCGGGAGTGGCCCTGGCTTCTGTCATCCACCGCTCTGCTCCTGTTCCCCCAGCTCCCGCAGCCCAGTGTGGCCGGGCCCACACACCACACTCACACGGGCCGTGCACGCCACACATGCACCCCCGCAGCCCCTCGGCCACTGCGCCTCCACCTTGGCCATGCGACCGTGTCCAGGCAGCGGTGTCTCCAGCCAGCACGGCGCCCGCCTGCACGCCACACATTCTACCATTTCTGCCAAGGCGGCGCTGGAGAAATTCTTGCACCCTGAGAAGCAGGCAGGGAGTGAGTGCGGAGGCGGCCCAGGTCTCAGACTTCCTCTGGTCCACAGAGCCAGCCCTGGAAGGCAGAGCAGAAGGAGGCGAGAGGCGAGCCCTAGATCCCCGAGCCGGGCCAGAGTCTACCTCACTCGCTGCTGCACACGGTGCCAGTTTAATTCTTCATTGTGGAAATACATTTCACGGCAGTCACTTGGAAAAAAATCCCACTAGTCTGCACTTTCTAGAGCAATGCCGGGTTTGGGGCAAATGGAGCAGAAGTGTAGTCTTTGGAGTCCCCTCCCTCACCCAGCCGGGCCCCTTGGTACCCTTCTCTGATGCATGTTTGTGACACATCACGGTCACGTTCATCGTGGTGAGCTGCTGCCCTGCATAACACATCTCTGTTCTTTTCTCGTCTCCCCTCTTGCTTTCCTCTTCCCATTTGCAAAAAATCTCTCACCCTGTTTCCTGCAATCTATCTTTCTATCTTATGTTTTCTTCTTTGATTTATTTATACCTTGGGTTTCTCAGAAAAGAGAAGCCATGCAATATTTAAGATGGTGTGTCTTAAATATTTATTCAATAATATTTAATTAGTTCTAATTTAATAATTAAATCACTTATAATTTAATAATATTTATTTAAATTTTATTGATTTATTTCACTTGACAGTATGGTCTCAAAAGGCATCCATTTTCCTACAATGACTCGTTTATCCTTCTTTATGGCAGAGTAGGTCTCCACTGTGTGTAAATACCACATTCTCTTTATCCATTCATCTGTTGATCCACATGTAGAACACTTCCAAGATTTAGGTGAGTCGCGCTGCTGGAAGCATGGGTGAGTATGTGTAACGTGATGTCCTTAACTCTTCGGGAAGATCCTAGAAGAGGAACAGCTGGGTCGTACGGAAGGAGCCTCTGGTTTTAGCTTTTAGGACTCCCCATACTGGTTTCCGCGGTGCGTGGACTCGTTTCCGGTCCCAGCAGTGGGAAGGCTCCTCTGTTGTTTGTGGGTTCCGGCCAAGAGGTGGCGCCCTAGTGCCCTACCCTGGCACATCCGGAAGGGCTGCCCTCGCTTGTCTGTGCCCTCCCGTGGGGGCCCTGATCTGGTGCCCTCTCCCCGTGCATCTCAAAGGCTGCAATACGGGTTCAAGGGCCCGCGTCTTTCGCTGCCCCACAGGCCCCCTCCTGAGCACGGAATAATACGCCCCTGTCCACAGTGCTGTGGCTTCCGTGTGCCCTCACCTCACATGGCCGGGTCACACATGGTAGGCGGAGTCGTTCGTCACGAGGCCTTAGCGGATGGTCACGCCCAGCGTGGTCCTTCCCCCGGGGGCCAGCTGGGAGGCATCCGAGGGCCACAGACAGGGCCAGTGTACAGTCAGTTCATAGCCATCTTCCCTGCTCCAAAGCACTGTTCTGGCTCCCTGGCTTTTCCCAGGTGACCTCATGCCCTGCAGCATGGACGAGTGCTGTGGTCGCCATGGTAACTGACGACCCATGGGGCACCGCGCGTTCTGGAGGACTCGGTTCTGTCCCATCACCACCCTGGGCCCAGAACCTGGACTGTGTGGGCCTCTGGAGAGAAGGAGGAGACAGGGAGAGGCTTGGCTGTGTGCGAGCGTTTCTTTCTGCACAGCGCTGGGGTTGCCTTGGTAATGCGCGGACGCATAGAGGAGCCGGGTCAGGGTGCTGCGTGCTGCGCCCGAGGCCGGGATTTGGACCCAAGAGGTGTCCCGGCCGCACAAAACGAGCGCTGAAAGAATGCTTTGTTTTTACCCTTTACATCGCCTTTCAGTTTTCAACACTGCTTTATCAGCCCCTGTCTGCAGCACTTAAGGATCGCGTCCCTCAAGGGCAGTCAGCGCCTGCCCATAACACAGCTATGTTCTGTTCACGTCTCCTTCCTCCGCCCTCCCCTCCCTGCATATTTACAGAAGATCAGTCTCCCTATCTTCCTGTCTCCTATTCATTTATTTTTAAAGCCAGCTTTATTGAGTTTTTTCTGTGGTATCAGGAATCGAACTCGGGACCTTGCGCTTGTCAGGCAGGCGAGGGAACCACTGAGCTACATCCCCAGCCCCCGGCTTTATTGAGATGTGATTCATACCCACAAATCCGTCCCTGTGAAGTACACGTTCAGTGGCTCCCATGTATTCACAGATAGGTGCCATTGCCGATTGGCACAGGTCCGGAAACCCCGGGCTTGAGCCCACCCCGGCCCCGCCCGTGCCTCTTCCTGGCCCTGAGCCATCGCTGCTGGGCTTGTTCTCGTGGGTTTCCGGCACTGGGCGTCTCACCTGCGTGAATGGTTCGGTGTGAGCCCGTGTGAGCAGCCTCCTCCTCCTTCTCGCTGCAGCGCCCTCAGAGCTCTTTCAGGTCGAGGCACGTGCCAGAGCCGTGTGCCGAGTGTGACCTGCGATGTCCCATTTCCTGTCTTGGATCTGCTGTGACTCCACGCACGGGCAGCGCTGTGCATTTCCGGGGACACCAGGATAGTGTGTGCCTGTACACCCCCTCCAGGTCCTTTTTGTAATGAATGCAGAAGAATTTTGGGGGAGACAACATGGCCCCCTTTGGATGGGACAGGGGCCACCACTGACCGCACCCCAGGCACCGAGGTGGTCTCCAGGACAATCCAGGCCGCGAGCCCGTGGGCCGCTCACAGCGAGCCTGGCCTCTCTTGCAGTTCGCCTCTACGGACCCAACTTCATCCTCCAGATCTACTCACCGCAGAGGAAGTCCTGGTACCCTGTGTGCCAGGACAGCTGGAGCGACAGCTACGGGCGGGTGGCCTGCGCCGACCTGGGCTACAAGTGAGTGTGCACGTCCCCGCAGGGGACTCCTGCCAGGGGCTCGCAGCAGGATCCCCATCCTCACCCTTGTCAGCTGCTATAGCAGAGGCCTGAGCCCGGCTCATTGGTAAAGAACAGGTTTATTCAGCGTGGAGCTGGGGTGGTGTCGGGGCACCTCCTCCCACTGTCTCTTCTGTGGCAGAAAAGGGGGGACAGGTGCATGGGGAGCAGGCGGGCTGGGGCCTCAGGCCTGGGAAGGGTGGCCTCACTTCATCCTCGTGTCCTGTCTCCTCGTGACTCCATGCAATGTTGGGAGGTCCCGGGTTCCCGTTTTCAAAGCAAATTATCACTGGGTAAGGAGGCTGGCCTGGTGGCTGGTGAAGCCCTTTAGAACACTGTCCCCAGGCAGCGGGATTGAGTCGCGCAGTGACACCTTGCACAGCCCAGGAAGCTGCTGGAATTTTTAACAATGGGGAGTGTTCTAGCGTCCATGTATTTTCTTAGACTGTATGGGCGTGATCAAAATGTACAGTGAAAATTTAAATCTAAAAATTTATGAAGGTAAAAGACACACCGCCAGGAGTCCCCCTGAAATCCTCCCTGTCACTTTGAACACATTCATCCCATCATCCCTGCCACTTCCTGCAGCAGCTCTGGGTTCCTCTTTCCTGAGTGTCTTTACAAGGTGTGATCAAAAATGCAGTGAATGCTGCTGCCGAGCGTCATCCAGTGGAAAGGAAGGTTATAAAAACACAACGCTCTGTCCTCACCCACCTTAGTCACCAGGTCTGACACCATGTGACTTCCGGCTCTTCCCCAAAGTCAAAATGACCATGAGAGGGGAATGTTTTGGATCAATTGAGGACATTGAGGCAGCCAGGACAGTGCAGCTAAAGATGCTCAGGAAAGAGGGCTCCAGAGCTGCTGCAGGAAGGGGCACGGAGGATGGGATGGGTGTGTTCAAACTGAAAGGGAGCCTTTTGAGGGGAGTGTGTCTCTTTTCCTGGCAGTGTGTCTCTTAGTATGGTACTTTTTATTTTAAACACTCACCGTGCTTTTTGACCATGCCGCACACCTACCCCTGCACCCTTAATCCCGCCTGTCCTAACCACACTGGATTGGAAACACCATCGCCGGAGGACTTGAACCGCGAGGTGCAAGGTTACCGACTGAACATGCCGGTTGTGATACGTGGCTCGGGGTTGGGGCTTCTGCTTGTGTTTTCTGTTGCTAAGGTGACCCCGCCTACTCTGGGCGTCACCCCAGAAGTGTTTCCGGATGCAGCACAAGACCCATGTGACCATGTCGTACGTGTTCTCCATCCGTTTAGGAACAGCTTTTATTCTAGCAGAAGAATAGAGGATGACAGCGGGGCGACCAGTTTTATGAAGCTCAACGCAAGTGCGGCCAGCACTGATCTCTATAAGAAACTGTACCTCAGGTATGCGCCCATTTCTTTTCTCCTTTGCAGAACCAGGAGACCCGCTGAGCACTCGGGTCCTGAGCTGGTTCCTCTGGGCTACGGTTCTGGGCGTGGGGGGCAATAGAATCGGGCCGGGACTGGCTGCTCTCACAGCTGTGGGCTTAGTCTTGGGACGAAGCCGAGGTGTATTGGTTGCTGTGACAGAACACCAGAGCCAGCCTCCTTTATAGAGAAGAGGGGTGCAGTTTGGCTCATGGCTGTGCAGATCCAGGGTTCAGACGCTGTGGTGCTGGCTTTGGCAAGGGCCTCTTGGCCACTTCACGGTGCGGGGAGGCCCGTGTGCCTTGTGGTCTCTCCATCCTTACGAAGCCGCTGGGACTCACTGGTGGGAGCTGCACCACAGGGACCGGTCTAATCTGACCACTTCCCGGGTACCTGGCCTCAGCACACCCCAGCCCCCAAATGCCGCCAACGTAAGACTTTGAGGATCGAAGCCCATCAGAGGCACAGCAGTGTGGCGCCAGGAACCCGGGGCGATCTGGGGTCCCAGCTGGGTGAACGGCTTTCCCAGTCAGCCCTGGACTCTGCTGGTCTCAGCACAGGCGGGACACCTTCCCAGGGCTGACCCAGTCCGTGGGCCCCACCCCACTGGGGACAGTGTGCCCGACCCTGGGCACAAATGTCCGGTTCAGTTTGGCAAACACTTCTGGTACCTTGAAGCTGGCTTGTGACCCCAGCAGGCCCCCGTGTGTCACAGGGGGCATGAACACAGACGAAGGGGTCATGACTGATCGACAGCTGGGAGGGCGGGAAGGGACTGGGCCACCCAGTTTGCTCTGTGCCTGTTTGGGAGCCCTGCAGGCACCGCGGCTCCCTCCGCGTGGGTGTGAGTGGGATGGTGGCCCGCATCAATGTTTGCAGGCAGAGCTGCCTCGCCCGGGTCCCCAGGGCGCCTCCCCGAGCGCTGGCCCTGCCCCCCCTCCCCGCCCCCCGAGTGACTGGATGATGCAGCAAGGGGCTCCTCGCAAATGCAGCGGCCCCGGCTTCCTCCTGTCCCGGGAAGCAGGGAGCCGAGCAGCGGGGGGCGGAGAGGCTGCCGTCCTTGGCCGGCGTCTTGGGAACTCAGTGTGGCAGCAGCTTTGCGGGAAAGAAGAGAAGGTCACTGTCTCGAATGTCGCGTCCGCCCCGTGGCGGGATTGGGCGTCCGAGCTCCAGTCTGCTGGCCCCCGGCCAGGCCAGGCTCTGCGGCTCCCAGACGCTGCTGGCTGCGTGCAGTGTCCCGTCCCCTTAGAGTCCGTCGGAAATGTCACCTCTCCGAGGCAATGTGCTTTCTTCCGCTTGGCCCCGTGAGTGCCCCACGGCCAAAGGCCGTGAGGTCCACACCCCCGTGGCCAGGGAGCCGTGGGGGGACCCAGGGACGCCCCGGAAGTGGGGGCTCTGCGACCGGCTGGCAAATCCTCCCGCGGTTTGCGCGAAGGTGGTTAGAGGAAAGCCGCCGGGCGGTGCGAGCGCTGCCTTAAACCCAGGCAGTTCGCCGTTCGCAGGAGCCTCCAATAGGTCAGATTGGGAAAATTTCCATAAACACCGCGGGACTTCCTGAGGAGGGGCGGGGTCTAAACCGGAAACCCCCTTCCGCTCCTTTGCCTGTCCGCACCCTGGAGCTGCAGGCGCTCAGATTCCACACCTGTGGCCCACGACCCTTCTGCTGGGGAGCTGTGGAATTTTCCACTCTGGCCTGAAAAGGTTTGGTTCAGGGTGTGTCAGAATTTGGCTTTGCAGGCTGGGGGCTTTTAGCCTGATAACTATCATCCTCTCGTTTGACCGTTTGACCCGTGGGGAAGCAGGCACAGAGTGGTTAAGTAGCTTGACCCAGGCTGCACAGCGGGAACTGAGCCTGGCACTCTGACTCCATGTCTGCCCTTTTCCACGGCCCCCTAGGTAGAGTTAATCACCCCACTAGGGTCTCAGTAGGGGACCTTTCTGTCCTGGGGGACAGGAGAGGGGATGTTGGGAGAAATGCTTATGCACCACATGACCCGCGCCTGTGCTGTGTTTCAGTGATGCCTGCTTTTCACACACCGTGGTCTCCCTGCGCTGCATAGGTGAGTCTGTCATCACAGTTGTTTGTTTGTTTGTTTGTTTCTTCCTGAACTCAACATGTAGCCCAAGCTGGCCTCAAACTCTCAGTGATTCTCCTGCCTCAGCCTCCTGAGTGCTGGGATGACCACTATGGGCGCCCACCATGCCCGACATCCGTCTTTACTTTTGCAACTAGGAAATGCTCCATCCCTTGAGATGCATCTCCGGGGACCTGGCAAGGGAGGTGTGGGGACCCTGAGCTCCTTGCCCTGGGAAGCAGGTGCCAGAAAGCCAGTGGGGCCTCACCTGGGCTCCACATGGGGCACCGCACCCTGACTCTCTATGGCTCGGCTTGGGTCACAAGGGAGCTGCCCTGCACCCCAGGCTTCCTCAGTGGCCCCCTAGGCCTCCAGCCCGCTCACGTGGGGTCTCTGCTCCCCAGCGCAGGGGCACTGTCTCCCCTTCTGTCCGCAGGACAGTGCTGGGCTGTCCAGAGAAGGTGGCTCTGAGGTCCACCAGCCCTGGCCCCCTGCACCCCACCTTTGCCCCCCACTTCCCCTCCCCAGCCCGCCTTCCCACTCTGGACCTGGGATGGCTGGGTCTCTGAGGGTCAGCAGCTCCTGTGGGCCCCGGAGCCCGAGCTTGGGCCTCCCGGCCAAGCCCCACCATCACACAGGAGCCGAGGACCCCGATCTGGGTCAGGAGAGGAGGCAGAGCATGTCCCTGCGAGGCCTGCACCGCTCACTGCCTGGCCTGTGCTGTCCTTAGAGTGTGGTGTCCGCTCACCAGGCCCCCAGGGCAGGATTGTGGGCGGCTCAGCTGCGGCACCGGGAGAGTGGCCCTGGCAGGTCAGCCTGCACGTCCAGGGCGTCCACATCTGCGGAGGGTCCATCATCTCACCCCAGTGGATTGTGACAGCCGCCCACTGCATAGAACAGTAAGTCTGTGTCCCCAGCACGCGTCCCTGCCCACCTGGCATCCCTGGGCTGTGTGACCCCGGGCAGGTCACTTGGTATCTCTTGGGTTCTGCTTGAAAGCGAAGGAGGCCACCTTTCTTACCTGGGGTGTCCCTTGCACCCCAGCTTCAGCCCCAGATACTGAGGGCCTCTAGAATCGGGCTTCTTTTAAAATCTCAAATAAAATCCCTGGTAAATGGAACCCCTTGATTACCATCAAAGGATCAGTACCAATGCCACATATCCATCGGCGCATTTATTGGGCTCCTATTACATGTGTGTGTGGGAGGGAAGCTCTGCACAGCAAGGTTATAAGACCCAGTCCCGCCAGAAATGGGGTTTGAAACCTCAGGGCATCAGGGCCTGTGTGTGATGGCACTGAAGGCAGGACCAGGGGCACCCGAGGGACAGGGAGGCGGGCGGGCTAGGTGGAGCCCTGCTTCGCTCCTGCGCCGCGGTTTGGGGAGCCCGGTGTCGCCCCGCCGTGGCTCTCGGCGAGGCCGGCATGCGTCCCGGGTGCCCAGGCCTCTCAACAGCCCGCGGTACTGGATGGCGTTCGCGGGGACGCTCAGGCAGTCCGGTATGTTCTACGGAGACGCGCACCGCGTGGAAAAAGTCATCGCGCACCCCAATTACGACTCCAGCACCAAGAACAACGACGTCGCCCTCTTTAAGTTGCAGACGCCGCTGACTTTCAACGGTAGGCGGGCTCCGGGGACACCTGGACCTGGATGGTCCACCCCACGCCATCGCCCGGAAAGTGCCAGGGCCCTGGGTTGGCCTGAGTCCTGGGACCGGCAGCAGCATTACCGACTCTGCCCACTAGACGGCAGTAGTGCCTAGGTGACAATCCCAGAGGGGCAAGGGTTCCCGGGGACATAATTAATTTCTAGCTTCTGTCTTCACCTACATTCTGAAAGCAGAGTGCAAAAGTCACAATTTAAACAAGCACCATTTCCCTACCTCTTCTTTTTGTGGTTCTTGAACATAGGGTCTCATGCATTGCTGGTGACCACTCTACCCCTGAGCTACACCCCGGCCCTGTTTTTATTTTAATTTGAGACAGGGTCTCACTAAGTTGCCCAGGCTGGGTTCAAATGCGCAGTCCTCCTGCTTTGCCCTCTCCAGCAGCTGGGATCACAGGCGTGTGCCACCACACCTGTCCCTGGTAGCTTCTCACTGGGGCCAGGCTGTAGTTCATGCAAGGGTCGCTTTTGGACCAGGAGCCGCCTGGCCCCCACTTCCGTTTATAGCAGCAAGCTCTGGAGGGGAGCCCCTCTCTGTTAGAAGGGGCAGGTGGGAGCCCGGGAGGGCCGGACCCGGCTTCGGGCTGCCGTGGGGAGCTGCGGGCAGCCAGGCAGGGACCCTCGCCGAGGCCTTTGCGAGCCAGGCTCTCCCTGCTTGGAACAGACAGGGTGAAGCCCGTGTGTCTCCCCAACCCCGGCATGCAGCTGGACCCCAAGCAGCAGTGCTGGATCTCCGGGTGGGGGGCCACCTATGAGAAAGGTGAGGCTCGGGCACCGGGGCTGCAGGGACACGGGACAGGACCAGGCTTGGGCGTGGGAGGGCCGGGTTTCCACCCGAGGTGTGTGACTCACCATGGTGACTCTGGGCAGTGGCCCAGGCTTGCCTCAGTTTCCCCATCTGCTTCATGGACAATCACAGCGGCCCTAGCGGACAGTAGGAGAGGGCTTGGCGTTGGGATGGGCTGAGGGAGGGCGGAGGAGGGGAGATAGGGCATCCTCTCTTCGGGTGGGAGCTGCTGGCTGATGTTCCCATCCCCAGGGAAGACCTCGGACTTGCTGAACGCCGCCTCTGTGCCCCTCATCGAGCGCTCCACGTGCAACCACAAGTACTTCTACAACAACCTGATCACCCCGGCCATGGTCTGCGCAGGCTTCCCGCAGGGCACCGTGGACTCCTGCCAGGTGACTGCTGGCTGCATGTAGCCTCCGGGGGACAGGCCCAGCCTCGGGGGGATGCAGCCAGCCCCAAGCCAGCTGGGGGGCGCTGGCTGCTGACCTGGGGACTCCGGTGTCGGAAGCAAGTGCTGCCAGCTTCGCCTACCCAGCAGCTCCCTCCAGGAAAGCGCACTTGGGCAAGCAGCTGTGGCCAGAGCTGAGCGGCTTGGCTGGTCCAAACTGCGGGCGCACTGGCTCTGTCCCTGTTAGCCAGTGTGGACCACTCCTGCCTCGGGTCGGGTCCGGTCGGGTCTGGGCAGGTGCGCTTCCCACACCCCTGCCTCCTGGGTGGCAGGTGCTGGTGGGTGTGACTTGGCTTCCGCTCTCTGTAACCCCCAGGGTGACAGTGGAGGGCCACTGGTCACTTTCAAGAACGGCGTCTGGTGGCTGATCGGGGACACGAGCTGGGGTTCAGGCTGTGCCAAGGCGTACAGGCCCGGGGTGTACGGGAACGTGACAGTGTTCGCAGACTGGATCTACCGGCAGATGCGGGTAACGCTCCCCTCTGCCCCGCCCTGTCACCTCCGAGGGGCAGCTCCCCTGCCGTGGGAGCCCTTGAGCCCCGGCCCCTCTGCCCTCCTGCCCTGGGGCTCCCTTCCTCTGGTGGCCTCTGCACTACGTTTGATCTGTGTCCCCTCCATGTCACCTGGGTCACACCAAGGACCAGGTGCCACGAGTGGAGAGCACCCAAGGTGCCCGGGTGGTTGCTAGGTCGTGGTTGCTAGGTGGACCCTGTGCCCATGTGTCCCTGTGGTCACCGCCTGTAGCCCCTGAGCTCCAGGCGGGAGGAGGAATTGTCCCTGTGTGCTACAGGGCTCGCTGACCCTGACCCTGAGCTCCACATCACCCAGAGAAGAGCAGCTTCTGCCTCCGCATGTCCTGAAAGTCACCCCTTCCTTTGTCCTTTTGATTAGGCGAACAGCTAATCCCGGGGCTCCACCCCGATGTCCAGAACACGAGTACCGAGGGCTGACACGACTGCTGGCCGTGGCTCCTTCCCTCTTCTGAGCAGTGATTGCTGACCGCACTGTCCCTGTCCTATGCCGGCTCCAGCCCCTCTCCCCGCCTGCTGTCCCTGACCCCTGGCCTGGAAGTGGGGGCCGGGCCTGCTGGATATGGGCTGCTGAGTCCTCCTCCAGCCTGTTTCTGGGTGGGCCTGGATGATGACCTCTCAGTAACCAGGTGGCCCGAGCAGGAAGGGGACAGGCTGGGCAGCCCTCAGGAACAGAAAGGGCCATCTCAGGGGACAGCCACGGGAAGCCTGTGGCCCAGCTCTCCGCAAGCAGTTTGATCTGCTAAGTTTTTGAGGGGTCAGGGGTTGCTGGGGCCTTTGCACCGAGCTACATCATCCCCAGCCCTTTTTAAAATTTTTTATTTTGCGACAAGATCTCACTAAGTTGCTAAGTTACCCAGCCTGGGCTCAAAACTTTGATCCTCCTGCCTCAGCTTCCCAGCATGCCTGGGATTACAGGCATCCACCACTGTGTGACCTGGTCTGGCCATTTCTCTTGTGCCTTCTTAGCTGCTCCAGGTGACACCCACTGGAAGTCAGCTGCAAATCAGGGGACCATCCTTCCATGGCTGGCAACCTGATAGTCACTTGTGAGGGCAGCAGAAACCATCTTCTCCTCATGCGGCTGAGACAGGAAGTGAGGAAGGGCAAGCCTGTGCCCCATTTCTGCGGCACAGCTCCGGGGCTCCCCTTGGGGACACCCACCCTGGCCCCCGGACTCCTCCCCAGCCCCCCTGTAGCCCGAGCTCTTCCGGGCCACGGACAAGGCCAGGTGCCTTGAGGACCCTGTCAGTGCTCTGGGCACATGAAGATGGGTCCCCCGGGAATCCGGGGGCACAGGGCCCGATGCCCCTCTCACTACCTCGGGACCCCTGGAGCCCTGGCTGTTGCTGCCCCTCCAGGAAGGTCGCCTGGTTTCCATCTTTGAAGTGGTCCACTTGGGCGCCGCTCCTCCGAGGCTCCAGTGACAAAGACAAGAAAGTGCGGGCACTGGTCCCTCGGCCCTGGGTTCCCACAGAATGGGGGCCACTCGCGCCCCTGAGCCCCCTGAGTGCACGTTCGGCTCTTTGCTGCTTCACTCCTTCCCAAGCATACGGGTTCTGGGGTGCCTTGTGGGCCTCTGCCTGGGGACAGGGTGCCTCTGTGGGAGCAGCACCCGCGCCCCTCCTGAGACCCCCACCAGGCTGTGGGCGCCAACCTGTGGGACCCCAGTTTGCCCCCTGCTTTCTGACTGTTCTCAGCTGCAAGATTCAATATGAAGTACTGTGCAAATAAAATCGCTAAGTTTTCCAATCCCCGTCCAGTCTCTGCGGCTGTGCCTGGTGTGCAGAGCCAGGCTGTGTCTCATTTGGGGGTGACCTCGGGGCCCCTGCCCAGCTGGGTGAGGAGGGTGCCGGTCGGGGCACCCAGCAGGGGCTAGCAGGTCCCAAAACCTGGTCGGAGACCTACCCTGTTCTCCTCGCTAGCCGGGTTCCCACAGCCTCAGGCCCTGCTGGGTTGGTTCACAGTGGCAGAAATGTCTCAATCTGTACTCATCCCGTTCCCCTGTCATTGGGATGGTGGCAGAGAGAAAGCCTGGGTGAGAACAGAAGCCACTCTTCCCAGCATTCTCCAGGACAAGCCACTCTTCCCAGCATTCTGTAGCCCACAACAGGTGACAGCAGAAATGGCGGCCATTGGGTCCAATGTGATAGAATGTATCCAGGATATTGGGGAAAAAGAGTTAAAATGTAAAGTTTACGTTTTGCATTAGATAATCAATTCCTACCAGAACATGATTCTGACTAAGCACTGTGAACATGGTGTTGGCAATGCCAGGCTGCTTCCCCAGGGGAAGCAGAGTTAAGTTCCTTTCCTGGGTGTCTCAGCCACCATGTGTTCGTAGGCTGGTGTGCACCTATGCCAGCTTCAGCTGTGTTTCTGCCTAGATGCTGTATGTAACATGAGGAGGGATTGCAAAATAGACTGAACGTTTAAATTCAAAATTTCTTACAGTAAAAGACACTGCCAAGAATCCCCTCACAATCCTCCCCTCGCTTCTAACACACTTATTCTTGGCGATGAGTCTTTGACCGTAGTAAACAGAACCATTTGCCCTGCATTTCTATCTCCCCTGCAGAGGGTTGTGGAGGGGTGTGAAGAGGAGACCTGACTCCTCAGCACTTCTCACAGACAGCAGCACTGTAGCTTGGCCCAAATTGGGCATCCCTAGCATGGCTCCGTTAGACACTTCTGCCTTCTCTGGCTGAGGGTGCCACTCTGCAGCGCTGTGCCTGCGACCATGACAAACAGTGACGTCACCATCAAAACCCACAAAACTGCAAACTCTGGGCACTGAAGAGCCATGAGTAGGAATTAACCTCACCATATGGATGAGCTGGAGAAGCACAGCGCCACCCTGCTGGCTTCCACAGGGACACACGCATCCGGGGACAAAGACGTGCCTCCATGCATGTCATCCCTGCTGCTGGTGGACTTGGGGCTACAAAAGGTGTTAGCAAGTAGCTAATTCACAAACAGGGGTTCAGGACCAATGAGGGCTGACCGTGTGCCAGTGTCCGGGTGGACAAAGCAGCGAATCGCATGTCACAGCCTCACGTGGGCATTTGACTGTGTCAAAACTCACCAAATTTGGTACTCAACACATTTGGTCGGGAAAATCTTTGTCCAGGCACTTGCTGGACTTGTGTCAATTGCCTCCTGACATGCTCCCTTCCCAGCTGTCCTAGCTGTCACTTTCTTGTTGCTGGGACACCATACTCAACACTGGACCTGGAGGAGAGGTTGAATTTGGCTCACAGTTTCAGAGGATTCAGTCCATGGTTTCTGGCTCCAAGGCAGGAGCATCATGGTGGAAGGGTGTGGTGGATCAAAGCTGCTTACCTCACCGAAGCCAGGAGAGCAGGGGAACGGTCCCAGAGCAAAAGGGGTGAAGACCAGATATGGCACCCAAAGCCACCCCTCCACGACCACGGAGGTGCACCCAGGCATGTGGGCCACCAGTCCCAGAGACGGATCCAAAGCTGATCAAGTTGACTCACTACCCCAACCAGACCAAACAGTGTCATTGGAACTCACTGGGCCTTCCGGGGCCAAGGAACAGCCGATTTCAAGGGCACTATATATTTTTCATATTGGAAATGATTTTACTTTTGGATGAGGCTGGATTTCACAAGAAAGGTGTAGCCACAAAACTAACAGGTAAAGAAAATATCAATGTTTGTGTTTAAATGTTTATAAACAACATGATTAATTTGCATAAGTGGGCCTGGAATGCTTTTAGTGCACGGCTCAGAGTTGGCAGGGATGGCGCACTGCTGCACAGAGCTGACTGAGTCCCACACCTGCTGGCCATGGGTGCTGGAATCACCTCTGGCTGAGTCCCGGGGGACAGTCCCACCCTGAGCACGGGTCCCTGGGCTGTTCAGGGCCCTTTCTTCCATTATGCCACGACTTATCTGATCTGCCCTGAATTCAGAGCCTTTTTTACTGCAGACCAAGGCTGCACACAGAGATTGACTCTCCATGCTTCTTCCCTGGGCCCCGGAGCCAGGTTAGCCCGGGAACTTGGTCAGCTGATGCTGGGCCTGGCCCAGCCGCTCCAGCCGCCCCTTCAAGTCCTTCCTTCTCTTGGTGCTGCTGCTCCCCTCCTGCAGGAGCCAGGCGCAGGCCTCCTTGTCCTGTAGCAGCTGGCGCTCTGCAGCTCCCGGCCGAACCTCTGCAGGACGAAGTACTGGATGATGAGGGGGACTTGTCTGGCCAGGCTTCGTCCGACCTCCTGGAGGGGAAGGGTGGGTCACAGGAAGGTTTCCACGAGGGACGCTGCTCTCCCCACATTCACACGGCACCTGGGGAGAGCACCCCACTTCTTCCCGTGTGGGCCGAGCCTCTGGCTCTGCGGCAGCTGGGTCCGGGCCCGGCAGGAGCCTGGGTCCCACCTTGGACAGAGTCCCCACCGCTCCTCCTGCTGCCCCACTGTCCTCACTCACTCGGTCTGACACACGCTGACCTCAGGGCTGTGACACGTGCTGGGGGCCCAGCAAGTTCTGCTGTCCCCGTGTGACTCAGCTTCCTTCTCTGGGAATCAGGGACAACCTGGCCACAGACCTCCCCAGACGGTGAACCACTGAACGTGTCACAGGCACCTGCTCGGGGGGAGGCCAGGCAGTGACCAGCACCAGGTCTGTCCTGCAGGTCAGCCAGCGGGAGCTGAGCAGGGATGCAGGTTCTGGGACCACAGGGAGCCAGGCGTGGCCTGTCCCCAAGGCAGGGAGGAGAACAGACAGGGTGCCACAAGGGGGGCTCCCAGGAGCAGGAGAAGCCGGAGTGGGGACAGCGACACGGCAGCAGGAGGGACGCAGAGCCCCCCACAAACTCTGCCCGTGTGGACACAGGGACGGGCCTGGAGGGCACTGAGCCCCAGACACCGGCTGGCCCTGTGCTGAGAGGACCCTGAGCCCCAGGCCCGAGATGGAAGCTATCACCTCCTCGAGCACCCCTCCTCCACCGCCTAGCAATGTGCCTTGTGGCCAGCAGGGGCGCCAGGAGCTTCCCAAGGCTTCCCAAGGGCAGTGCTGAGGGCCTGGGCCCAGCCTCGTCCCTGGGCCTCCGCAGGGGCAGAGGGCCTGGTGCAGCAGGAAGCCCAGGCGCAGCAAGGCCGAGTCGCAGGCCAAGGCCTCTCGCCAAGCAGAGCCAGGTGTGCGGGCTCTGAGCACCCAGCGACTGTCAGCTGAGTGGGGCTGCTCCAGGGGCCCCGAGCTGGTGGGGCTCCCTGCACCCGCAGCCCAGACAGAGGGGCTCCCGGGGGAGGGGAAGAGCACACGCACCTGGCGGTAGGCATTCAAGTGCTGCAGGACTTCGGCCACAGCGGAGTCCCGGGGAGCAGAGTCCCGGGGAGCAAAACTGAGGCCCAGGCAGGATTTCTGGGCGTCCTCCTCCCTGACCCGCTGCAGCGCGCCTCGGTAAGCCTGGTCCTGGCAGTAGACGATCTGCTCCACCCGGAAGTGAAGTTGGATCGCCTTCTCTGCCGCTTCTTCTCCGTCCCACCGGATGTCCTCGATTTTGTTCCGCGGGAAGAGAAAGCTGACTGCAGACCCACAGGAAGTGAACCCAAAGCCCCGGAAAGAGGTCACCGAGAAGCCGGGAGCTGGGCCACCCCGCTGCACCCCGGCCCCCAGTGCTGTGCGCGGGTTCCACCAGGCCGGGCTGCCTGCCCAGTCCTCAGCCAGGACTCAGCCCTCTGCTCCCTTGCGGGTTTGCTGTCTGAAGGGAGCCCATGGCGACCCCGGGGTGCCCGGGGACAGGAAGGGCACAGCTGGATCAGTCCCACCCCACAAGGGGCCTGCCCTGGCTTTGCAGGCCACTGAGGCTTGGCCCAGAAAGCACCCACTGCCTGTGAGGCTCGGTGCTGGGTGGGTCCCGACGCTGTCCCTGTGGTCACTGCCCCTCAGGGACAAGGCACTTGCGCGTTCAGGGCCCAGGCCAGCAAGGTGGCCACCCTCAGGCTGGGGCTGGAGGCCAGCAGAGCTGGGTCCCTGCCATGCTGAGAGCCCGGGGCTGCCCGCAGGGACCCGCAGGGCACAGACCTGGGCAACAGCTGTCTTGTTCCTCCTCCCACGACCCAGTCCCTGAGGCCCCTTGCTGAGCATCCACGTGGGGCCCTTCCCTCCCACGGGACCAGAGTCTGCAGCCCGGGCCCTGCTTCGGGAGTTTCCCTTTGTGTCTCTGACCCCTGCTCTGACCCCACACTGCTGGTTGCTATTCCCAGGCCGCCGGGCGCCCACTTCTCCCACGCAGAGAGGACATCGGAGTGGGGCTCGGGGCAGAAGTGATGCCTGCTCCCGGGCAATTTCTGCTGCCTTCTCGGAGCGTCCTGGGCTTACCTTGCAGGTCTTGTGCAGGTTAAAAAACCCACTGAAGTTCCTTTCAGAAACCGCAGTGAAGGTGTCTCGAACCATAACTGATCAGAGAGGGAGGGCGAGTCAGCGCTGACAGTAGCTTTTCACTCCGCGTGGACCGGAACACGCATGCGTGAACCTGGTCAGAACCCGGGGTTGCCTCTCTGCCTCCCGCTCAGCCGCGCCGCTCCCCGAACCCCTGGGGCGCTCGGCGCAAACTTCCTCCTTCCAGCTGCAGCTCACTGTCCACCTACGTTTCCAGGTCTTCCCTTGTAAATCACAAACATGAACACTAAAATGAAACCTGCGCTTCAGGCTCACATTTATCAGTAGGACCTGTGCGCCCACGTTCTTAGTTTGAACATGAATCCCAAGAGCTCGTTGGTATTTAAAGGAAGCTCACTGGCATCGTGTTATTTTCTGAAGTCAGCGTCTACGCAGCTCTCTTCCGGGACGTTGCTATGGCGTCTCCCAGAGTCATTCTGCCCCTCGCCTCTTACTGCTCTCTGAAAAGCGGGGTCCGCACACAGATTTTTAACTTTGTTGTGGGTCTGGCGGCGCCAAGTTCCGCAACCCCTCTGGGGGGAAGGTGGGCGTGGAACTGAGGGCCCAGCCTCCTTACTCTGCAGCCCCGAGGTAAAGGCACAGGACTCACCTGGGCATAGGTGTGGGGAGCCGCCCTGACCCGCCCTCCAGGAGCCCGGAGGTGGAGGTCTGTGGAGGAGGCCAGCAGGGGACCTGAGGGGAGATCCACTGGGTTCCCATCCAGGGGGCCACACACTTCAAGGAGGGGTGAGCAGAGGGCAAGACGCGGGTCTCTCCTGGGGCTTGAACCCTGCCCTGGCCACAGCGACGCCCCGCACTAGCAGGGCCCAGGGCACTGACACCCTTGAGGCACAGTGGCCTGGAGCAGGAGACACCGGATCTGCTCCCGAGGTGTCTGGACACAGCTCAGGGCGCCTCAGCACTTCCTGTGTGATGGGAGCGCCCCGTGGTCCGTGGGTGGCTAGGAGGAGGCTGGTTGCCAGATGGATGGGGTCAGAAGCAGGGGCAGAAAGCTGGGCTTGAGCTGTCACTGAACCCTCCCCACTGCGGCCTCCCGGAAACCCAGGTGTCCACATTCACAGGGAACACGTGCTCAGGGAGGAGGGTGCAGCCCCACTCCACAGCGACAGGCGCCGGATCCCTTATTACACCAGGATACGTCCCTGTGACATGCCAGGACACGTCACTGACACCGCAGGACACGTCCCTGCAGCATGTCCCTAGGCGGGGAATAGAAACCTGAGCACAGGGTGGCGGCCCCGATTATAGATGGTCACTCAGGACTTGGGTGGACCTGCAGCCTCGGGACAGTCTTGGGGACCGAGCCCTCACCTCAGCAGAGTGCGCCATCCCCCAGTACTGTCAAACTGTGACCTGTGGGCCCAGGCTGGCATCCGGGCATCAGAGAACAGGTTTCCGGGTCACAAACGCCCGGGGGAGGGCTCTGAAGTCCGGCTGCCTTTGCTCTCTCTTCCTTGCCCCAGCAATAGATGCCACCAAGCAGATCCACCTCACCGGTGACCTCGTGCAGCAGCTCCACCGCTGGTTCCTCCAGGGCCTGCAGCTGGCTTTTCATGAGTGTCTCAAACGTCCTGTAGTTCACGAACCCGGGCAGCTCTTTGCCACAATGCTGGCTTTCGAATTGCCAGACTTTACTTTTTAAACCATCATAACCTGCAGCAGGAAAGGGTAGCTTTGCAGTATTTTACAAAAACAAAGTTCTAATAATCCCATAAATCCCAATTATCAAGCCCCAATCAAAAATAAATCTTGATTTTCAAATGGGCCACTACCCCAGAACTGCAGTAAAGAAACCAGCATGAGGAGGATTCAGCTCCATGAGCCTGGCTGGGCGTATAGAGCCAGTGAGCCAGGCACAGAGCAAGAGCAGAGCTCAGGTGCATGGATCCTGGGGAAGCACTGGGGTCCGGGTTTGAGCAACCCCAGGAGATTTTACCAAAGACAATGGGTCAGGGCAGCACATGCTCCTCACCTGAGCCAGGGGCCCGTAGGACGCAGCATGACCCTGAGCACTGCTGGGGCCCTGCAGGTCGCCTGCTCCAGCTGTGAGGAGCAGGAAGTGGCCCTCCTCACAGGGACACATGGGGAGCGGGCACCCTGGACAGTGCCAGGGGCTGTGAAGACCCCATGAGGGATGCAGAAGGGCCCTGCCTCCTGCCCTCGGAGGGGTGGTCTGGCTCCCCTTAGGATGGGAGAGATTCCCCATGGGAATTTCACTGCCTCCTCCAGGGGGCGATCTGTGGTTTCTGGGGTGTCTGCCAAGCTGAGCGACTCCCCACTGATGCGGGGACGGGCCCGGCCCCCACCCCCATGTCCCGCCCTGTCCCCTGGCTCCAGCCCTGTACCCCGTCCTCTGCTTCCTCTCTGCATGGCGACCCATGTGGACATTCCTCAGGAAAGGAAGCTCATCACAGCGCCTCTGTCCCCAGCTGCTTTCAATCCGCACCAGGTTTTCAAGATTTAGCCACATTCAG